TTTGAAAGCTGTCCTGATGTTTTCGCGGCTCAAAATGCGTCGAACACGTTCCGACACTCCTTTCACACGTATGTCGGGAAAAGCAGAAGGAATCGGAAATCTCGGGGGGCCGAACGCGCTCCACAGTCCACACACTGATTGGTTTGTTCTGATGATGCGTACATAAGTTATCCTGGATAAAGTGAGGGGAAGAGAGAGTTCAGTGATTGGATTAGGATTTGCACTACATGAAGACACTAATAACGGCTGCAGGGGAGAGTACGTTTATATGTAATTGAGACTGCTAAACTATAGATTCATTTTAGGGAAAACGTACTTGTGGACTTGCTGGTGTAAAGAAACGAAACCATCTTTCGCCCTTTGAAAGAATTTTACTAAATAAATATCAAACTAAAAAGTATATTTCTTTTAAATCAAATAATGTGAATTTGTTGAAGGAAATAGGAGAATGTCTGAGGAAATGAATCTTTTAAACAATTAGGTCCACAATTATTTTAAACTATGTGCTTTATAAACTGTAACTCTAATCGTTAGTTATTTAATTAATTACATTTTTACCTACTTAAAGTAGGTGATAGTAAATACATGATTTTGGAAATGACAATAAGTAAATAAATAAATAAATAAATAAATAAAAACAAAACAAAACAAAACAAAACAAAACAAAAACAAAAACAAAATTGAAACCAACCGAGCTTGAAAATCATATACAAACGTATTTCCGAGGGACCTAAAGCAGTCACGGAACGCATATACATCCAGTTTGCGTTACTTCCCACAGATCTCTCGTGATCCTTGCGATCATCCTAGCGTGACTTAGCTGTTTGCGTGAGGTGGGCGTGAAAACGGCGTCAGACGGCCGATGTTAATTACACGGTGTAAGAAAAGCAAATGAAGCTAGAATTGGAGTCTGTCTGATTACAAAACGTTTGACAAGTAGACAACGCCATTGAACTGTCGTTGGAGCGTCGTTGAGCTAAGGACTTGATACCATAGTGGAGTACTACAAAGTAACATAGCAGACAAAGTCTGTCTAGGGTAAGTTATTTTAAATAGATTCATTGCCTGGGGTTCAACCAGTGCTGCAACGCAGTTATTTTCAAGTTTCATCGACCTTCCAGTTGGTAGTAATTCTTGTCGACTCAAATACGAGGTACTAATAACCGAAGTATCGACAGTTGTCTGGAAGTAGCCTTGCATTCCACAATTGTCATTAGCGGCAGCAAGAAAGATTACTGGATTCAAATATTTTTAGCTGATACACGACACATACTATTTCCTGAAGGCGGTACAGAAATAACTTCCAATTCATCCAACAACTTCACTGGCACTTCCGGCTTATCCATTTCCACGGAGCTGTAAACATGGAAGAAAGTTCTCCTCTCCGCCTCTCGCAGCAAACTGTGCCCAGAACAAGTAAGTTTCATTGTAACTTTTTTGTTCTTTTGCTTTAGATTTTAGTGGGGAGATCGCAGTGGAAGAGCGGAGTGATAAGCTAATAGAGTTTAAAGGAAAGACATAAAAACATCCGTCATTCTTATAGATCTCTTGTTATTCTTGTTATTCTTGTTAAGATATCTTGCCAGTTTGATTATTTAAATCAGACGTCTGTAGACCTAATCAAAATGCGCTTGAATTTCAATGACACGAGAATTTTTTCACTTGATTAACTTTCTTAGAAGTGAATGAATCAGAGAAAAGTCGCGCTTGAGCAACGATCAAAGCGACTGGCTTGAGGTGACTTGAAGCGTTGTAAACAAATTACTTTGCACGAAACACACATATGATTAAACAGGCGAAATCTCCAGCACAGAGAAACGAAAATTTTACTCATAGATTGCTTGCTACATATGTGATATCGACAGGCGCCGTTGTAGCCTGCGAGCAGACCCTCATGCTGTTACGCCACGAGCAAAGGCGAAGCCGCGAGAGACGAATCGGCGAGCGAAGAGAGCCAGTGAAAACAAGAGGCTTTTTCGCTGATTCGCTTCAGTTGCCGACTTCGCCTTTGCTTGATGTGCCGCAGCGCACGAGAGCCTACTCACAGGCTGGCCCCCTTGCATTTCAATTCGTCGGCGAAGAGCGGGAAACAACTAATTTACGCGGTGTTGATGGTTCGCCTGTGCAACAGGCCCACAACACCACAGGGCTCCGCACTACAACCACTTAACAGAGAGGGACGCCTGGGGATCAGGCAGTGCCAACAAAAAACCTCCGTAAAGACTCCTTCGACATGATCGACTCCATATTTGCCACCATCTCGACCGCGTGGTTTTTCAAATGCATCTCATAATACTCGTAATAATGCAATGTCACGAATACGCATTGTTTTAATCCTACACAGACTTCACCTCCTACAATAACTCTTTAATACACACTAGTTATTATATGGCTGTGTCTCACAAGGACAGGGAACTACCGAATTCAAGAAGTTGATTGGCTGAAATCGATATTGAAAGCGGTCTAGATTTTCCCATCTAGACCGGCATTTAGACCGGTAATGTTTTGTGGTGAAAAAGTTGCAAACTTTAATGCAAAAATGTTGACTATTTTCTTCTACAATATTTATTTATGGCAATGCCAAAAAGTCTGATAAGAAAAGAAAAGAAAAGTTAAGAGGACGAGCAGACTTCGGCAGAATTAAGTTCAGCTCATCGCCGTTCGCAAGCAAAATGTCGGCGGGTACAAACCAGTTACACTAAACGAATTAGATCTCTCTCGCTTGCCATATAATAAACAGCTTATTAACTGAGCTTAGTCGGTCTGTATGGGAGAATCTTGACCTCGGTCGTATGTACAGACCTCACTGCGTTTGGTTTGTACTCACGACCTCGGTCAAGATTCTCCCATACAGACCTACTGCTCGATTAATAAGAGCTAATTATTTGAAGTTTGCTACAATTTTCCGTTGTTTTTGACCGTTTTGAATTAAGAGCGTTGTTGCATGATGTTTTGTTCTGTGGTGTTTGAGTTAGGGACAGTTAACACTCGACGGAAGAAGCCAGAACAAACATATTATGTCTTACTCAAAAAGAGCCAATTTAGTCAGGACACAAACTGTAATCTGTAGCTCCCAGGTTCGTGTCCTCCTCCTTGCTACTGGATAGATTTGTCCTCAGCTGTCAAGAATTTTACTCAGAAAAAAAAACAGAATTTTACTCAGTTCTCAGCTACACTTGGCCTTGAACTTCCTTCTGTATCTTCTGTCAGTCGTCTTTGTTCAGTGTTTGACATGAGGTGTTGTCACTCATCATATTTTGATCATCTCAAGTATATAACCTTGTAAGCATAAAAGAATGCATACCTTTGTACTTTGACAAATTTTGTCAGTTAAGAAAATTAATGTTTAAGGTTACCGTATACCTTCAGGGGTGTCTCACGTGCAAGCAACGTAGCGCGTGCAGTTTAAGCGGTAGATACCTAAACCCCCATATCAAATTAAAGCTTATAGAGCTGGCTATCAAACTATACCAAGAAGTTTGAAATAAAATGAATTGTCGAATTTTTCACGCCACTAAATGCGAGCGCCCGAATCACCTTTCGAAAGCTACAAGTCAAAGCGAATTTTGTTTTTCGCCAATTTCATTTTTTCCTCGGTTTCAGGGCCCAAAGCGCTTAAAAAAGCGTGTCTGCGTTTTGCCATATTCAATTACAGTAAAAAGTTACAAAACATATTCGACATGGGATTAAAAAAAATGTAGAGTGATCGTGCAAAAGTCGCTCTAGAAGAAAAAATATTTCGAAATTAAGAATTCGCAAACACTTTTTGTAGTTTATATGTTAAACTGGTTACTGTCC